AGGGTGCGACTGGAGCCAGCAATAATATGTGTGTGAAATGAGAAACATAAGAGAAACACTGCACGGTTTCCCTGATGAATGAGACCCCCCCTCCTCTTAAACTCTTGTGAAATGGTTTGACTGTGACCAACCAGAAAGTTTAACCCTTCTGGCTCACAGCAGTTTGAGAGATCCCTCCATCTTCATGTGTTCGAGGAGCTGACACAGACAGGAAGGAAGATGTGCATGTCGATACCAAACGCTGTTTAGATATGCATGGGTACAATTCAAGAAAATGACAACGTCCTCATCTGTCTCTTTTACTCTTGTGTGGTTAACGTTTTTATCATCACAGATAATGCAGATATTGACTCTGCCTCCTGAGGCACCGGTGCAGACAAATACTCTCTGTACTGCGAATCCCATGCACAGAATTCATATTCATCTGCAGAGCGAAGCCGCTAAGCTCCTTGGGGGTCAGCATATGGCTGCATATAATTTCTTGTATGCAGCACTTCTCATGAATGTCTTGATTTGGTCCTAATGTTGCTGCATGATGGTACCGAAAGTGAACATATGCTAGAACAATGATGACATTATCAGATTTGGCCGATTATTGCTGTATTGCTGGGGAGGGGGGACAAGCATTGAAAAATAAATATGCATCGGCTCTGACAAATCTTGGAGAGACACTTTTCTCTACTGGTCTCCCCTTTCATTGCACCCACTTTACAGACTTATTTCTTAAAAGACCTTATGTCCTTTATGTTGCACAATTTCAAAAGAGCATGCGTGACAGCCATCTGTAATCCCTGCAGGCGCACTGATTCAGAAAAGTGCTGTTTTGAGCTTTGTAATCAAAGGCTTGCTCAGTGTCTGACTTTGATGGGTGAGGAGGTGGCATGCAAACAATGTCACAAGCCTAAAACAATGGCTCACGCCTAAAAATAAAAATCTGCTCGGAAACAACGGTCGCTTTTCGTCATTCTGGCATTATGAGAGTGGTATCAAGAAAAGCGAGATGCTGTTACCTAACAGAGGATGTTGGTAATTAGTGTTGTTCGTCGCCTTTATGCTTTCGTCACAGAGAGGCATTGCAAGCTGACTCTATTGACTTGAAATACCCTGCAACCTCTCTAAAGCATCAGCAGCTTCAGAACCTCCTTCCCCAGATATTGGGAGGAAGGGGAGATGCTTGCCACTGAGCAGGTGTTACATGACAAAATGATGCTTGTGTATTTTATTCTTTTGTCTCTTCTCTGGGATTCAATAAAGATGAATGGCTGGCTTATAAAGTGTCATAGTGTTGTATTGTAGAGACATCAGTGGTGTCACAGTATGACAATATATGTATCCACCCACTCATACTTACAGGAGGAGGATGGTTCAGTCTGGAGGGTAGAGCGACAGAGGAGAGGAAAAGAGAATAAGAAGGACAGAGAGAGAGAGAGAGAGAGAGAGAGAGAGAGAGAGAGAGAGAATTGTTATTTTCACATCCACTGCCAATAATGCAGACAGTCTGCCATCTATTGGATGAATCACAATGTGCAAATTTCAGTGTTGAATATACCCCATTTTGTTGTAGTTCTCTTTTGTAAACACTGGGTGACACTGCAATTCACAACTTCATTTACCAGTCATTTTACCATGGCTGCCATCATACACTATGTAGGAGAGTCTCCAAGTGAAAGAGGGAAACAATGATAAAATGATAAGTATCAAAGGACAGCCAGCATGACACGATGGAGACTGAGCTATTTATTTATTTATTTATTTTTTAAATCATTACACAGGTATCCAATATAAGATATAATCCAACAAAAAATATAAAATAAAATACAAAAATATGGTAACAATAATTTAGATAAGTAAATATATTGATTGACATTTAAAAAAAATAATGGACCTGCATCAGAGTTTCCACATCCAGGCACCTTGGTGTACAAATATAAACAGTGCTACCCCCATAAGAGTACCTTCATTCATGCAGAATAAAATATCTGACACATATGCTTCCTTTTTTCTTTCTTTTCAGTTTCATAATGAGTTTTTTTCTCTGTAAAAAAAGAAAAAAGATCTACATATAAAGATTCCATTGCCTTACATTGCCATGAATATACTGATGGATTCTATATGCATCTAATCTTGTTTAAATGTCTCATTAGAATAATGACCAGTGAGCTAATCAATAACAAATCTCCAGATTGTGTTATGTTTTCCATGATCACCAATAAGCTCAATGAATGTAGTAGTATTTTCCAGTGGCAACCTTATTAGATTGTAACAGACAAAGTGCTGAGCTTAAGTTCACAAAATAACTTTCAAATAAAAAATAATTTCACCTTTGTATGTCTACGTGAGAGGTGGTGCATTACAGTCGTTTACACCTCTATTGAAAGTCTTGTTTATGAAAAGTCATTAAAGCAAAGGTAAACCTGCCAGAGTGATGACTTCATGGAAGATATTGTTTTCCCAAAATGATTCATTGCTGTTCCATGAAACTGCTGATTGGGCAAAGCACGCAAACACTTCATAAACTCAGGAAGTGCTCTTACTTTTTTGGTTAGTGTAAACAGGCTGTCGCACACATTACCCAACCCTCCTGTACGTGTCAGGTCGTGTCAGCTTTACTCCAGTCCTTAGTCACAGTTACAGTCAATGTGTTTCACAACACATGCATTATGAGAACAATGACTGTATCAAGCATCAGTATAGGTATCATGATGACAAATGATGAATAACACCATAGGAGGTCCAGCCCACTTGAACGTTTACTGTGAAATAGATTTAGAGTAATGGATTTCTTACTTCTGGTATTGCACACATAATCAGTAAGCATGAGTCACACTGTACAAACAGGAGAAACAGGAAAAAACAACCATTAGTGAGTCTTACACAAGTACACAAGTACACAACTCTTATAAAAAGCTAATTTGAAGAGAAATCAAAAGGAAAAGCAACATTATAGCATAGTTGCTCACAATTTTTGAACCAACCAAGATACACTTCTGCTTTTAATGTAATGAAAATATAATATATTTGTATACTATTTGTATTTTCACTGGACTATGGACTATGGTGCTCAACCCCAAAAGACGAGTTGACAAATTTGCTGTTATTATGGATGAACAAGGGCAAAAGGAATGTTTTGTACCAAAGAAATTTGTTTCCTCTACTACAAAGAGTTCAGGACAGTTTCCCTCATGAATGTAGAATGCATGATTTTCTTCTTTATGCTCACAAGAACTCTGACCTTTTGTGTGCCGCAGAACCACTATGTTGGTGGTATTTGGGGGTGGAGCAAACCCTTATGATCCACCAACTGATCCTAGAAGAAGAAAAGTGACCGGCCAGTCATCTGGTAAACGCCCACAGGTCAATCCCACACCAGTTCATCAAAAAGAAGTAAACAACTACTACATATTCCAGACATGATCCTCCACTCCCTAGCGGAGCTCAAACACAGATTCACCTCTGCCCATTTTCAGAAACAAACTCCAAAGGAGGATTGCATCAGAGTGCACCATCTCACCACTCTGTTTATTATACGGATAAATATGAGAGGACATATCCCTTGGCACGACATTGGAGTTGGCTATTGCCCAGCCTGTACTACAAGGGTTCGTATATAGACATGTGTCACATGTCCAAGCAAAATGAGGTGTGGAAATCCTGGAAAGTGTAGCCACTTGGACAAGGATGTCCTTCAAGGCCAGGGTGGTCCAAAAGTATGGTGATCCAGGAGGGCAATGTTACCAGCAAGTCCAGCCTCCAGGTTCAGGCTGAGGTCAACATATTCACTTGACCCAATAAGGTACCTCTAAAATAGTTGAATACATCTCTGACAGCATGTAACTAATTCTGTATGCAGATTGATGAATAGCTGAAGAAGATCAACAGTTTGGATTCTTCTGGAGATTTAAGTCCTTGCTGTACCACTATGGCCCTCTGCATAGATTTCCTTTGGCTCTTCATAATTTAACAGTTCCTGATGACTACTATGAGGAAAACCAACAAGCACCTGCCAAATGGTCCCTCAAGGAACCCTCAAAGCTTCTGTTCACTGGGCATCTATGATCTGGGCAACTACTGCTCCCTCTGTCATCAGTTCGGAGGAATTCAAGGTGATGACTTGATAAATCAAGCAGGTGTCAAAACAAGATCTGGGTGTGAGTAAGCAGCCAAAGCAGCTGTAGATCACAGATATGTGAGGAAGAGGAGGTGACGTCAAAGGCAGTGAAACAAGTGTCACAGGGTGTCTGGACATTGCACCAACACGTTGGCCTTTTCAAGATTTTTCATTCTTAAATAAAATACATAACACAATATTAGAAAACAACGCCTCTACATGTGCACTTTACTGGGCACATAGAAGTGCATCTGCTATTTATTCAAAGTGGGCCATGGAAATAAAAAGAAAGCTTTGTTGGTCTGGAACTACAGCGAGCTTTGCATTTGTCTGTGTATCGTGTGGCCTTATCTTACAGCCTTGGCAACAATTCATGAAAAGATTATATTTGAATATCAGTGAATACTCTTATACATGCAAAGACTGTATGTAAAAATGTTACAGTTGTGTGTGTTGGGCCCATAGACTGTATGTAACAATACTATAGTTGTGTGTTTTGGCCATATAAACTGTATATAAAATACTACAGTTGTGTGTGTTGGGCTCATAAACTATATGAAAAATACTACAGTTGTGTGTTGTTGGCCATATAGACTGTATATAAAATACTACAGTTGTGTTGTTGGTCATATAGACTGTATATAAAATACTACAGTTGTGTTGTTGGTCATATATACTGTATATAAAATACTACAGTTGTGTTGTTGGTCATATATACTGTATATAAAANGTTGTGTTGTTGGTCATATATACTGTATATAAAATACTACAGTTGTGTTGTTGGTCATATATACTGTATATAAAATACTACAGTTGTGTTGTTGGGCCTCAGTACAGATGTCCCTCCCTGGAAGCGGGGACGTGCTGCCCTCTATCAGCAGTGACGCGCCCCGCCCCGCCCATCAGCATCTCCAGGCGGCGGAGCGGAGCTGGGAGTCTGGAGGAGCTGGAGCAGGCAGCGCACAGTGCAGCGGCTCCCGCGTTTGTCCGACACTTAGCTAGAGCTGCTCCCCAGGCGGTGGAGGTGATGATGGCGGCGGCTGTAGAGAGAGGAGTCGTCCGGGCCGCTCTCCTGAACCCGAGCAGCGGTGGCGGCGGCGGACCAGCGCCGACGATGCTCCCGGCCGGAGCGTTAGCCGGGGCTGTGCTGCTGGGCTCGGGCTCGGGCAGCATGCCCGTACCCATGAACCTCTTCGCGACCTGGGAGATAGACCGATCATCCCCAAGCTGCGTCCCGAGGTAACGTGAACAATGTTGTGTGTTGGCGTGTAAAACACACAACAGCGCAGACTGCGGTGTGTACAAATCAGCGCGCAGTTGAACAAACATCAGGCTAACGTTGGACAAACAACGCCCTCGAGCTGCAACACATTTCCAAAACATTGTCGGGCTGGCTAGCGAGCTAACTAGCAAGGTAGCTAATGCTAACGCGACCTAGCCAACGGCGCTGGTGTTTTCCTCTCATGTTTCGTGCTAAAAGCGTTTCACATTCTTATTATGTTTGCCCTTCAGAGACTCAGTCGGCTAGAATACCAAATGACACACTCATACCAACAACTCACATATTTTCTCTCAAGTGTGTAATTATGAGTCGGTGTGTTCATTTTTTTTATTTTGACCATTTAGATAACTATGAAAGTTTAGCTAACTACTTCATCAGCGTGTGTTGCTGCGTCGTTTTTAAAGTTTCCCGACGGCCACATTCTTCACGTGCCCGTGCTGACCCGAGTGTGAACCGATTTGCGGAAAGCAAGCCACCTAATACCGACACAACTGTCTCGAAATACGGTGACACGGATGCCGCTCGTCTCACCAGCAGCATGCACCCTTGTCATCCGTCAGCAGCACCGTGTGTGTGTCATGAGCCGATGGGCATTTCTGCAGCTGGCTACCTCATTTGAGATCCACATACTTTTCCCGTTCGTGTGACGCTGAGGTGCTCGGTGCTGTGGTTATAACGGGTCTCACACACGCCACAACAAACACACTCTGGTGTTGACACAGCAGCCGGCACTAGGAGAGAGCTACACTCTTTACGATCCTCTCTTCTGCAGATGCACCATCCCCATTGGCTTCACGCTGTTCTGATGACACCGTTTAATATAGAGGGCAGTCAGCGATGTTAATACTCCCGCATTAGTATTCATCGTCAGTGAGCAGGCATTGCTGCCACCTGACCAGAAGCCTCCTGGGATCTGTGGGCACATTAATCAGCGTTGACCTAGATCTGTTCCACTCATTGGTAGAAAAGTGGGCTCGCAGTGGGGAGGGTTTCCTCCACAGTCGATGTGCGCGTGTGTGTTTGCCTGCAGCCTCTTTAGTGTCTGCATATGTGAATGGACTCATGTCATGAGGAGAACGTGGTTAATTCACAGGGATTGTTGTCAAATTTCTGTTTGAATATTACTAGATTGCTTAAATGTATATACCCAACATGCCTGCCCTCATATGCTAGTGTTACTGGCATTACCGCTGTTATTACAGCCTTACATTGCTGATCCCTTCATCTATGTCAGACATGTTCTTTTGTGTTTATACTTTAAACATTGATACGCGGCCTCTCCATTTATATTAGACACAGTCTTTTCTGGTGAATGTTGTAAATATCGTTTTTTGTTGACATGCTCTGTTACACGCAACATCTATTGCACATCTGTCTGTCCTGGGGGAGGAATCCCTCGCTCTTGCGGTCACTGTTTTATTCCCCTGTTAGAAGGGTTTTTGTGGGTAGTTTTTTTCTTACGCTAGTCAAGGGTTAAGAGTAGAGAATATCACACATCATTTAGCCCCATGAGGCAAATTTTGATTTGTGAATATGGGCTATACAAATAAAATGTGATTATAGTCTGTATGTTGCATCTTGAAGTGAACTAAAATGAGAAGACTTCACTTCCCTATATCATTGTTGCCCTATTACAGTAATTATGTTTCCTCTGTTTGATATTATCCCTGAGAAGGGAGAGTTTAATTGGGTGACCTTTATCTTTGATTGGCCTCAATAGAACTAAAAAATCATTGATGTTTGCCTGGGATGAAACACCTATGCTTTTCAAGGTCATGTCTCCAGTCACAAATAGATAAAACTGATGTATTCTAACATATGGAATCAGGTACTTCTGATAGCTGTATCCATTATGGTTTAAAGCTACTTGCTGTAGAAGAAACGGACATGTCTGTGCATTTATAGAGTGCAGCACACATGGCACATTGATTTCCCACATCACTGCCTCTGCACTATGTGCTTTTTTTCAGTAGAGGATGACATACAGGCTGCTGTATCAAAGATGAATAAGGGTGAGGATGAAATGGATTATTAATGAGGTATGGAGTAAAGGCATAACAGTCATTGTTCAGCACAAGACTGTAGTAGCTGCTCGACACAAGTTGTTGATGGGCTACTTTGTTGGAACTCATATGTAATGTAAGTTTTCTCGGCTAATGATGTATGACAGAATTGTTTATTTAGGCCTGTTGAAAATTTTGTCAGACATGATTACTTGGAGTTGTCGTTGTTCACAGCAGCTCTCAAAGTAATTTGCCAGGGCTGTTTCTGCTCTCTCATCTCAGAGTGGTGTGAGAGGTCTTGCATGGAGCCCAACCCAAAGCCTGTTTTAGGGATTCTGCCTTGGCATTCTTTCAGGGGGTGGGCCATTTTGTGTGCAGCTGTTTGCTCCTCCACAAGCCTCTTAGCAAATGTGGGTGTCCAGCTAACTGGCATGGTTTCAAATGAGGCCACAGGGCTTGGAGCAATTGACGTTTTTTACTGTGGTGATCTGAAACATGACGCACAGCTGTTGTTGGTTAATTATTGCAAGAAGCTGTATTTTAGAAATTGATACTTCAAGTCTTTGCAGCCCTCTTGAGGGCCATGCCCAGGGGAAAATGTTTATCCACAATGGAAAATGTGTTGTCAGCTTTTGAGCAGGCTTTCAGCGTGGGATTGTGGTACCTGACAGTTTTGCTGTTGACACAAATATGGCATAGAAAGGACTTCTTCTTTTTGGACATCTTAACTACTACAAAGATCACAAGATTCATAGAGATATATATTATCTGTTATTTAAACATTCACTCATTCATTTGTTAGCATCGATTGCTTTTTATATTCTAATGCAACCATTGTCTAGTGCATCCGATTGTATTGCTGTGTGTGTGTTTCAGTATCTGACTGGTTTCTACCTGCCAGATGAGTGTTGTGGGAGCTCTATTCTCACCAGGCCTGTTGGAACAGTTGGATAAACATTGTTTTTATTCCAGCGCTGCCATGCCTGCCAGTCTGCTACTTTCAAATATTTCTAATACAGTGTGTCTTTCAGGCTCCAGCTAATTTCATATAAGCTGAACTTTTTTCACCATCTTGAATTCTACAACACCAAACCCTCTGCAGGGGGTGTTGGGAACACTGATGCCTTTTCCTTCCTTGGGGCTCAACAAATTGCTGACCAATGCTTTGTTTGTTGTTGCTGAGTAACCAGAGATAGCTACAATGTCCAATGTACAGGAAGAATAATTCAATTATTTCTTCTGAAAGATAAGACTTAAACCTCCATGTTGCATACATGTAAACTATCTCTCAAACAGGATACTAAATGGGGTTACTGTGAATGTGAGGAAGCTAAAGTTAGAGCAACTGTATACTTACAATACTTTTTGGGGTATTTTGCCTTTGTTGACAAGACAGCACAATTGTCAAATGGGGAGAAAGGACAGGATAGACACACAGCAAAGATCCCGGTCAGAACCAAACCCATGACTGCTGCATGAGGACTCAAGCCCCTATTAAAAAAACTTGGGGGGCTCACTAGCTCACCTAGCAGTGAGGGCTGCATCTCACGCAATTAGAAATGCCACAAAGTTTGGTCCATGCTTAATATGACAATGATGATCTTATTGTAAATGCTGAATGAGTGATTTCTGAGACCTTTTAGCTTCAGCGCACACACATTTAAGTGCAGTGGCTTTTTTCTTATTTCCCTTTCTTGATAAATGCCTGAATAACATTCTTAGTGGACATAAACAAGGTTACATAGGGAAGTATACTAGAACTGTCTCTTGTGTCAACAAACCAAAAATAGTCAGAGTTACTGACTTTGCATTATGTACATATGCAAAGTTAAGTGACATGCTTGGAAATCCAACTGGCCTGTCTATAAACTATGGCAAGGCAGGCATTTGTTGAGGGAACGATGTGGTATTTGCAGGAATGATACTAATGCAGAGGTCAGCATGGTGCTATGTTTATCTACTAACAATAAAGAATGTGTAGAGTATGAGAGGGTTTGGCTTCTTACCAAGTTCAAAGCTCTTTTACAACCTGGGGTCAGAAGTTGTGACCTTTACCCTCATCACTAACACGATGGGAGCAACCGAGCAATTGGGTTGTGTTTGCCGTACAAGCTCGCCAGGCCGCATTGTTTCCAGAATGTCAGGAGAGTTGTTGTGATCGACATCTGTTTCCAATTTACAGGCCATACATATAAACATGACAGTCTTATGTGGGTCACTGAGCAAATAATGTTTTCAAGATCTTGAGATAACTTTTGAATTCCATTTTCAATACTTTGAATGTATATCTGTCTTTTTACGTTTGAGATGGGTGAAGGTTAAAGGTGTGGCAGCAAGCTACAAAACAACATATTTTCCTCTTTCCCTCTGACATTTATCTCCCTTGAGCAGAGCATCCTTCTTTCTGGCTGCTTGATTCATGGGAGTCCCAAGATGACCTTTTTCTGTTGTGAGTTGCAGAGCCTTATCTCAATAGTAATTGAGTGTACTTTGCTGGCTCTGGTCAGATGTTTATTTCCTCTGGCCCAAATCTGTACGGTGAATCAAACTGACGTGTGCCGTGTATGTCAACAAGTGAAGGAGATAAACAAAAAACAAACCCAGGCCAGGACTGGAGCAAGTATCACTCAGTCATTTTGGTTACTGGGGATGAAGCCACCAGCTACAAGAATTTATACATCCTTTATGCTGTTGTGCACCCAGGCATATATTATACAGTCTCTCCATTAAGTCGCAATCGCAAAAAAAAAACTTTTCTAACTCGCTTCCTTGCTGTGAAGATGCAGACTCAGACATGATCTTCTCACATTTACCAACAAAAATAAAGTTTAAGACTGTGCAAGGTAGTTTCCTGATGTTCTAAGCACAAGTTAATATTTTGTTCAGTGAGCAATGTTTCAGTGGAACACAAACACTCAAACAAAAATCATCGATTGACAAATACTTTTCTGCTG